TCTCCGGTATCAACCCCAATCATCCCTCCCTCCACGCCCCGAGCGGTCGGACCCTCACGCTCAGGAGTGCTGCCTAGGGGGAAGGAGGGCTATAGGGGTGAGAGAGGGAAAGGGGGTGGGGGGGAGGGGTAGATAGAGGGAGAGGGAGGGTAGTAGCTGCCGTGGCGTGGCTGGTGTCAAAACGAAGTTGGGACGCAGCACCCCAGAGCATACCCGGTCGCACCTCCTGTGATACGTGGAGAGAAACCACGTCGGAGATACCGGTGTGGCGCTGCTCCACGTAGACTACCCTTCTTTGAATGCTGTACCAAAATAGCTCGCTGAAAAGTCCCGATCATACTGCCGAAACGCTGCGAAAAAACTTGTACAACACCCCCGCTATGCTGGGGTATTTTTGTATCTCGATCGGGTTGTCCTTTTTTCCAACACCCCCCCCTATGCTGGGGTATGCACACCTGAGGTGTCGCCTTTTGTTATGCCCCCGAGGTGACAAGAGCACACTAGAGCACGTCACGTCTACCCTGGCACCTTGCCCCTCACCATCCGTTGTCAGGCCAAGCGCAGCAGTGTGCCCCTGCACCAGCTTCTTGTCCGTGCACGAGCGCTTCAGGTGGATCCGGAGCTTTCCCTCGCCATCGCGGCGGGACGATGCCCCCCCCGCCGCACCGTGCCCCCCCCCGCCGACGGTCCCTCCTCGTCTTTTCATCTCGCGTGCCTCCTTTTGGCTGAGAGACTAACTGCTGCCGTTTGTGCTGCCGGACGTTAGTAGTTTAGTCTCCCGTCGTTGTTGGGTCCAATTTCCCCGTCGCTGGTTCAGGAGGTGGGGTGTGCGTGGGTACCGGCGGTGGGTAGGGCGATGAAGTGATGCGGTTGAAGGTTGCACGGGCAGCTTGCGTACCAAGCTATGAAAACGGCATGTTGTTACATGCACAAACCAGAATATACGTGACGGAAAACACTGGCGTGAACCAAGTCAACGGCGCATGATAGGCGTAGCAGGGCTACTATGTATGCAGGGGTGGACAAGTTGATCTGGTGTCGTCCAAGCGCAGACGTGGGTGAGGAGCGGGACAATTACACACTGACTCGCTTTTTCGACAGAGCGGCAATAGGGGTAGTGCATATATGCTCATGGTATTTCGACTTGAACGAACAGCTTAATACATTGACGACGCTACATTGGGGTCCAGTACCAGACGCAGCTGCTGTGACGCTGTTGTGGCATGCCACTGACTGACTTGCTGCTTAGCACAGTGGGGTTACGGGGAGGGTCACATCGCGTTCCGGAAGTTTTGTGCAAGGATCCGAGAGTTGAGAGTTCAGCGCCGGATGGAAGCTAGATGAACAGGCCTCGAGCAGTTAAACCAACGAATTGGTGAGGTATGGCACCAGCTAGACCGTGGATACTGAAGCCGACATTGCCCTACTATAACGAGTGCCGTCCCCGACCTGTAAGGGACACGCACCTCATCTCGTTTCCGAGAGGGTTGTAGAGAGCCAAACCCAGAGTGGAAAACGGTGTGGCAGCACGAGAAGTCCAGTGCCCAACGCGGCTCACCTTCAACAGCTACAGTCCCAGCTTCCACACGAGTCGATTGTCCAACCAGACCCACAAGCTCGGCCCCTTGATTGCCCTCGTCGACTACTGGTAGCTGTAGCAGTACAGCCGTAGCAGCAAGAAGAGAGGCCCCGCAGAATGATTTTCGAAGGACTAAAGTGCCCACCGCTGCGCCGCACAGCCAGCACGGCCAGTTGTCAGTGTCGCTCTGCTGTTGCCTCACAATCTCGCACACCCCACCACCATGGCGAGCCTGCCAAGGTTAATAGGTGGGTTTCAGGCTGGTATTGCTGATGCAGACTCCAAGATGGCCCGCTGGGCTGGCGTACAGGAGCAGCGAGCGGGAGCAGGTGTGCTGGCAGCGTTATCTTCTCTGGCTGCTCTTTGGATCGCCTGGAAATTCTTGCTGAGGTGCCGCCTCGCCCTCAAGCTGCGACGCATGTCCCGCACGGTCCCATCCCTCAGGTGACTTGTACGTTTCGATAGGAACGGGTATCCAGCTTGGTGTCGGGAGTGGTGGAGAGCTTGTTGACGGCATCTTCCGGAAGAGACTCAATGATTCCAAACACAAAACCAACCTCTCGATTTTGAATTGAGCAAGAACAATTGCTTGTTGGCTGTTTCGCGTTGGCCAGTGCACTGCTTCGAAGCGGTGTAGCCGCCGACTTGGGGGTTGGTCTCCTGTGAGCCTGTGAGCCTTACTTTATTATAGTTGCCTGATTGTCTCCAGCAGCTGTTGCCGAGAGCAATGCGGATGATCATGGTTATCGCATCGCATCATCCAAGCGAACACGTTTCAGAGTGGATGCGTTACGGAGGCTGCAACGGCTCACCTCATCAGAACATGTGTAGACTTTCCATACAGGGGGAGACTATTGGAGAGACAGCAGTAGTCTATGAGGAGAGACTACATGTAGAGGTAGTCTCCCCCTGGGAATTTTCAACGGTGTGTAGCGTACAGCAGTACATTAGATAGTTCCCGTCAGCCAACAAGAGTTTTCACAGCGGGTGCAACGCCTGAGAGATCGATCGAGGACTACTGTACATTTGAGAGCTTGTTAGAGGCTAAAAGTCTCTGACTTTCTCAGGGAACAGGTAATTCAGACGGGTCAGGTGTTTCGCTGGGTCGACAAGTCGACAGCCCAACCAACCTCAGTACACTCCGCACGCCCTTCCCCCTCCACACTCCTATCGACCAGTTTCACATCACCTTCAAACTCCTCATGCTATTCATTACCTACATAATATACGTCCATCCTTGGTCACCGACATGTAACATATTTCATCTTTCACGGACATCTACAACCTGCGACATGCGGAAACAATCACCAACAAAACATCGCCGAACTTGACGATGCAGGGGGACTTTGCCGGTGCTTGGCCCTGCCCTCAAGCTAGCCGAGGGGGCCCCGTGGGACACGATGACACGGTGGGCGCAGGAGTACGGCAGCATCTACAAGTTCTCGCTGTTCGGCAACGTCAACGTCGTGTTGTCGGACCCGTCCTTCATGAAGGAGGTCATGCGCACCAAGGTATACCGGTAGGCGACAAATGTGACTGGGGCTGTGACAAGTGAGGAAACTAGACTGGTCATGGCTACGGTCCCAGTGCGTAGGAGACCGGGCGCACATGGGGTCATCTTCCTGTGGTTCGGCCATGAAACCAACAAACACTGGCTACAGTCGCGTACCATTTTCTAGTGTCTCCCGTTCCCTTGCGTGTGGCACAAGCTTTTCACAGTTCTCCTGCACCTTTGCCGTGCTTCCGCAGACGATCCCACGGTACCCCGCCCCACTCTCGTCCCGTACCACATTTTCCCAAGAGCAGATATCCAAGTACCACAAAGATGTCGACTTCGCCTACCGCCCATTCCTTTCCCTTCTCGGGACCGGCATCGTCACGTCAGATGGACCCAAGTGGCGCAAGCAGCGCAATAAGGTGATCGGACGGAGGACTCTCATGTACTATTCATAACTCTGTGACTGGTGGAACAAAGAAGGAAATCTAACCACGGGAAAGGTCCCGAGGTTTTTTTTTGCTACAGACGTGCCAGCCAACACCACCGCTCTTGGGCTTTCTATTCCGTGCGTCGGGTACTTGCTTTTCGACCGCGGCCTGGTTTGAACCTTCGTTGTTAATCGGCAGCAGCACTTGGAGCCACTGCACACGTACCACTCTCTTTGAAAGCGTACCGTTTGCCGACCATTCGGGAGTAACCGTGAAATATCCCAATGGTCTCTATACAGAGAGCGGTATGAGATACGGGTAGTTCTTGGGTGCTTTCACAAGGAATGAGGTTCAACCTGCTACCCACACGATCGTCGTACCGTTGAATATCGTCCTCGTGACCTTGGCGTTCAAGCCCTGCCGAGACTCGAGTATTTTTGTTTCGCTTTCAAAGGCGGTTAAGATTCAACTTGCTACCAAAACTTGTCCTATCTTTGGATGTCGTCCACGAGACGTGTGCACTCAATCCCTGCAGAGATGCTGCATGAGTAGTTCTCAAGGTGCGCTTTCAAGGGGTGGGGTTCGCTGCTACCACATGTTTGTGCTACCTTTGGATCTCGTCCTCACTACCGTTGCACTCAAATCTCTGTAGAGATTCGAGTAGTTTTTCGTCACTTCAATGATCAAACCTGCTACCCACATTTTTGTCCTATCTTTGGATGTCGTCCCCGTGACCTTTTTCACTCGATCCATGCCGCCCAGGTTTCCGCGGCGTTTCGCATCGAGGTTCTATCGGCCGTGCCGGGCATGTCCCAAAGGGCAGTCGCGCGCCTCGCCAAGAGGCTCGACGAGGCGGAGGAGGCTAACGAGTCGATGGAGATCGGAGAGGAAATGAGGCATCTCACGCTGCAGGTACACGGCCGGCGGTGCCAATAGTTCGAGAGACTCACGGGCTGGCTTGGGCGGGGTCTACTGAAGAGCGGAGGGGTACATGCATGTGCATAGGCATCATGGTCGGGAGGGTGGTGGTGGCGGTGGTGCTTAGCGCTGGGAACCCACATCGTGCAGTATCTCATCGCCCTCTAGTCACTTGATGGGACGAAAGAGCAGACACGGCGGTACGCAGACGAAAATATTCAACTCTCCAGTGTGCCGTCGGGGTCTAGGGGCCAAGTCCCGGAGCACGCACTCAAAATCGATCCGTTTTTTTTTTTTTGCCCCAGCCCTCCACAATGGCATTGGCGGTACAAGAGGCCTTGCCTCTTCCGACCTTTTGCCGTAGGAGCTGCTGCCATTCCCACATGACTAAAGGATTTCCGCCGTCCGGTATCCCGATTCTCTTGCAACTGGTACGTGCTCCTGCGTCACGGAAGGACCACCTTGGATTCTACGGAAATTCAACACCCTACTTGCCTGCTGTGCTCTCCACCGTGTGCCTGGACCAAACTATATTGATTGATGAAATAAGTGCATGAGGGTAATCCCTTGTCATTTTCATCCGGACCTACGGTTCACACAAGAACAAGATGATATGGCCGCTGGGGTTGACACGTCGTGTGCCGGGGTTTGAGAGAACACTGACATGGCCGCTAGCGCCGACACATCGCGTGCCGTCGGGGGGTTGCAGGTGATATCGGAGGCGTTGATGAGTCTCACCGCCGAGGAGGCCGACGGGACGTTCGCCAAGGTCTACATGCCCATCGTGGTCGAGGGTCACATGAGGTGAGCGAGAGGCAAAGCAACAGAGCCACACGCCGCCATAAGTGTGCCCACGCGCTCTCTCTCTCTCTCTCTCTCTCTCTCTCTCTCTCTCTCTCTCTCTCTCTTTCCTTGTCTCTCTCTTTCTCTCCCTGTCTCAGTCGCTCTCTCTGTCTGTCTCTCCCTCTCCCTCTCTCCCTCTCTCTCTCTCTCTCTCTCTCTCTCTCTCTCTCTCTCTGTCTCTCTCTCTCTGTCTCTGTCTCTCTGTCTCTCTTTCTATCTCTCTTTCTGAAGTTCTTCGGTGTTTCTTCGGGGCGTCGGTGTTTCAGGCGCGCTGCTCCGGTGCTGCACGCCAAGCAGCCGCGTCCAAGCACGTCGTCCTTGTTGGCAAGAAAATGTCAACACTTTCGCCACTCGGCGTTTAAGATTTTTGCGATCGGTCCGTGCATCGCTTTTTCCCACCCACATCTCTCATTTTCTAGTTTTACTAGTAATATTTTTCGGACACAACAGTCGCCCCCTTCGTTTCGAGGCGCCAGGCCTGGTATCAACCTCTAGCCGCCCCCACGCGCCGCCCCCACCACCAACACCCCATGAAGGACTTGGAACCCCTTGCGGAGGTTCTGCCCGCTACTGCCTGGGTGGTGGGCTCACATCAAGAACCAACGGATACTCAACGACTACATCACGGGGATAATTCGCGCTCGCTGGGAGATCATTCGAAAGGAGAGAGATCAAGCCGCGGGTGCCACGAACGGCGTTGCCGACGGGAACGGGTCAGGGGGCACGGCGGACGGGAAGGATTCGTACCCACACCTGGGGCGGAAGCGGGATATTCTGGACAAGGTGTTGGATTCGCTTGAGCCAGGGGAGTGGGGATCTGCGGCTGTTTTGCAGGTGCGGACCTTTCATCATGCACGTGGGTCTTGCATTCTGAGTTCGACACGTGTTGGCTGCGTCGTCTGTTGGATATAGAGAGCTTGGCAAGTGTTTCGCATCGGCAGCTATTGTTGCCGTGGTGCCATCTGCGACACTAGCAAGAATGGTGGCTATGAAGGCGCCGGTGTCGAGCATCCAATTGCGAGCGCCATTTTTTTCTGTTCGACACTAACGTAGATGTGTGGGCCAGCCCCATTGGTGCATGCTGCTCGGCTCGTGATATTATCGTTGTTCTTGATACTTTTGCGGTGGCCCCTGATTAAGTATGGCCATGCGCTTGGACGCGTTAGGCAGGGTGGCTGAACTCCTGCTGTAGAAACATGGGCTTGGCCCCATGGGACATGAGATTTCTCGTCGCCGTGCCAATTAGACGCACTCTTGGGTTGTCATTGATCACAACTTTGCCTTCGCAGTTCCACTAACATGATGTACCAAGCATTAAGGTCGGTGATTGTTCTGCACGTGTGATATTGCTTGAACCTCATTATTGCCTGTGGAGCTACCGCCGGAACGTGTGGATGACCTGACTTGTGTTGCCTTGGTGCAACAGATTCGAGACGAGATGAAGACCTTCGTGCTTGCCGGGCACGAGACGTCGGCCTCCATGCTAAATTGGTCTCTATTTGAGCTAATGGGAAGCAAGGACCTCATGGCCAAGGTATGTAGAGCGAGTTGTAGAAACGTTTTGTCGGCATGGGGCACGTAAGGCATTCCTCCGTCCTCGCTTTGCTCCTTCGCTCGGGGCACCCCTCATTACGTTGCGCCGCTCGTCCCCCAAAACTTTAGCTATTCCCATGTAGCCTTTCCGGATATATGGGAGTGGCCACATCCCTACCAAACGTTTGGTGGAGATCCCGATATATGGGAGTGCGCCAGCGTTTTGGAGGACGAGCGGCGCAATGTAGTGCGGGGTACCCGAGTGAAGGAGGAAAGCGACGATGGAGAAATCACCTTGGTTGTAGACGGCGGCTTGGACTATCCGTGTTCGACGAGGGCACGCGGTCCAAAGGTGCCGTCTATGTAGATGGCGCTGCCACGCTACTTTGAATGCGAGGTTATGCCGTGCTTTTTTCAGCGGGCCAGGGGTGCTAGGTTGACCTTGCCTATTGATGGCCAAGAGACGAAAGCCGGACGCCTTGGATGTTTGATATTGATCGCAATGGAAGGGCCGGGGATAGGCAAGTGGGAGGGTGCTTTTATCGACCTCATCCGCGCCGGGTTTTGTCGCATGCGGAGGCATGATGCCTCCAACGGTAGATAATCATTCCACGGAGCCCCGCAGCGATCGTGGAGGATATGCCCCTGTCAATGGTCGATATATCATAGGAGCCTCAGGACCAGTTGAATTTGGTGCTGATAAGTGTGAAGCGAACTGCCATTTGGTTCCGCGCTATTTAGTCCCCATGCTGCGATCTGGTCAACGTAAGCGATGGATCAAAGGAGCCTCGGGACCAGTCATTTTGCGCTGATACCAGTGAATTGAAGGGCCGTTTGGTTCCTCGATAATTGTCCTGTTCGGGCGTATTAGACCGAGCAGTGGTCTTCGCCGGTGGTACATTGCCGGAGGGTATCGGATTGAGCCTATCCACCTGATTTTTAGCTTGCGTGTCCCGCTCTCTTGTTTGCCTTGACGCGCAGGTAGTGGCCGAATCGGAGCAAGTCTTCGGACACGCCGTGCCGCTGACCGCCCCTCTTCCATCCGCAGAAAAGCTAAGGGGTTTGCAGTTCACAGAGGCGTGTCTGCGGGAGAGCCTCCGAAAGTATAGGTACGTTCGGATCAACGTACTTCCGCAGGATGCCCGTTTTCGTTTTTGGTCTGTTTTGCGCTTGTATATATGTGTGTATTTCCGGCAAGGGCCGTTCGTAGACAGACAAGCGATGCCGCTTTGCTGGCAAGAACGAAGAGGGGCACCGCAGGTCGAACCTCGCAGTCGCCAGGCTGCGGCGCTAATGTCCGCCCAATCTGTTTTCCAACACATGCCCTTCACTACCGTCCCAAGACGCACGTCCCCGCACACATCGTTCCACCGAAAATGTCTTCTGAGTGTCCCCTGCTCCGTCCTCTCGAGGGCGCGTGGTCAATGGTCTAAGCGCTATGGCATTGCAAAACGTGAGTATTCCGTCCCCTTCCTGCTGCTGTCTCTGGTCCGGATGTTGTTTTTGCTTTCCTGATTCCGGCCCCCTTGGCATTTCAGCCTCGTGCCCCTGGTGGTAAGACGGTGCGTCGAGGACACCACCATATGCGAAGAAGGGGGGACGGAGCACTTTATCCCGAAAGGATGTTCGGTACACCTCCTCATCAAGGTGAGAGAGATCTAGAAGGGCTGGTCCCAAGCAATGTACCCCGACTGTTTCCCCGGGCTAGTCGTTAGCATTTGAGCGGGCTTTGCACACGTTTTTTTTTTGTTCTATTGTCGATTTTTCCTTGGGCGGAGTGACGAACGTGTACGTGAGCTATGCTGCAAACAATGTTGTTATTGTTGTTGTTGTTGTTGTTGTTGTGGTCTTCACATTAAAAACCGTTCCGTTTTCTCTACCCAGTACCTTCTTCTGTTCGTACTACATAGTCTAACACTTGCCACGGTCGATTCCCGTGGTCACAGGCTTACCCGAAAAAGGTATACAAAGATATACTGCGAGCTGTTTCTTTTCGCGGTTTCACCAGGCAAAGGATGTGTGCACACGGTTGTCTGTCTGCAAATCATCGACACATGTTGGCCGACGGACCGACGAGAAGCGTTCGTTTTTATTTGTTCAGAAGAGAGAAATCAGAACCATTTTCTTGTCCTTCTTTCTCGTGCTTGTGGCTTGGGCGTAAGGCTCTAGCGTGTGGGCTGCTGACCAATGTTGGCTACCCAAAAAGACGGTGGGATCGTCGCGTCATCTCATTTTTCCATATGGTGGTTCATGTACTGTTGTGACAGACACACAACAAGGATTGTGTTAGCATTGGAACTTTTCAGGCCACTCTGAGAACATGCCAGTGCGGAGATAACGCTGTAGAGCGCCAACGATGGTCTGCTCAAGCTGGGATCTGCACGTCAGGATTGCAGCTGTAGAGCGCCAAGGATGGTCTACCTAAGCCAGGATTTGCCGGTCGGGATTGCGGCAGTTGGGGGCAACACGCCCTCAGCACATCTCCAGTAGGCCGACCGCCCTACACCACCCATCCTTTTTTTTTTTATGTGAGAATGCCGCAGACACGCCCTGCGCCATTCTTTCATCTAGGGTGTCATTTCCCCCCCTCTCGATTGCGTTTCTTTGTATATCGCTCTCCCCCACTGATTTGTGGCGCTCGGCCACAAGTATGCCTTGAGGCTATTTTTTTCTTGGAAAGTATGAAAGTATACAATCAGAGAACGGCTCCCCGTTCGAGGTAGTACCAGAGTCGAAGGGGATAGGTTAAGACCGTATTTTGTTTTTCGAACAGTGTGGTTATTTTCCACCAATACCCTGTGTACCCCCCCCCACCGCGCCCGCTTGCGTTTTCAGGGGGTACATGAACGGCCGGATATCTGGCCAGAGCCCATGCGGTACAACCCCGACCGTTTCATGGAGACACCGGTGGCACCGTACACCTTCCTTCCTTTCATCGACGGTCCCAGGAACTGTCTGGGGCAGCACCTGTCCCTACTTGAGTCCAAGGTATGTTGCTGCCGCTGTGCGTCGTTTGAGACATGATGCTGTTTGGCGTTGGGATCGGGCACTTTGGCATCGAGATGTGGCAGGAAGGTGGGATTTTGGACAGGACCGGGTATCAAGCGGCCTGGTTGGGTCAGTCGGGGGGCCTCACAAGCGAAGCGATCCGGTAGTTTTGCGAGCTTGGCGTCAGCACCGCGAGTCGTTGGCAACGGCACGGTATCACCTCCACCTGGTTCGCACGCGAACGCTTCGGGAGCGTGGCCTAGGGGACAATATGAGCAATCCTTTCCTCCGTTGGTTGTCGTGGATCAGTCACCTCATCGTAACCGCTGTGCCTACCACACCGCAGGGCCGTTTCACTCACTTTCCTCCCCAACCCCCTCTTGCATGCTGACAGTGCCGCAGTTTTCTTTTTTTCGTTTCCCCTCCCGTCCCGGGAGCACGCCAAAAAACACATATGTACCGCCGAAACAAACTCCCGCACCCGCCATGCCCTCCTTTGGTGTTACAGGTGGTCCTGTCTTTGTTGGTGAACCGGTACGAGTTCTCACTGGTGAACTCAAACGCGGGGGAGCCCAACGCGTGGATGATCCCCACCATCCCAAAGTACGGGACGCACATCACCACTAAGAGGCGGTCTGGTCGATAACGATGCGCATCGCCGCCGGGGAACCGCGAAACGAGTTCCGCAATTTTGAAAAAATGGGTGCGACCGTCCACAACTAGGGGGGGGGTATCAGAGGGGCTCCGCGAAATCATCCCGGAATCACTTCGTCTGTCTATATGGCACGGTCGCGTGTCAAGAGATTGTGGGAGAGGAGAGCAGAGGCTTTCTGCTGTACGAAAACTTGATGAAAGTGTTTGCGGCACGCGTTTGGAGGATGGGACGGGATGAGGACGACCGCTTGTTGCGCATTACGACGCACGGCACGAACCGTGGTTTTCTACCCTATCGCTGAGCTCGGTTGTTTGTATTCTCGGTCAAGCACGTCTACGTAGTCTTGTGTGTTTTCGTGTCGCATGGACCGCCGAGGTTTTCGTTCGAACCAGACGCGATGGCGATGATGTTGGCCACGCACTGCATTGTTTCGTGGACACGCGTGCCGCATCTGGCGCGAGCACACCCGGTAGTTTAGTGCGAGTCAAGCACAGCGACCACCGGATCTGCTTGAGGTGCCTCGTGCGCGTGGCATGCAGCATTTTCACTTGATAGATATTTCGTTCTCGCGCGTACCTTGGCTTGCGGCATCGTCGCCCTCGCCATATTTGGAATTTGTCGTGAATGTCACGTGCTCCCCGACAACAAGCATCGTGGATTCTCGTGACCCCTACGCCCCACAATACTGGCATTCAGCCTATGTAGTAGGACCAAGGCATCGAACACATCAATAGGACCGATTTCACAGCTCTACACCAACAGCGAAAAAGGGTCAAAGGACAAGATTGTGGTTTTCCCGCAGTTTTCGCCGAAAAACCCGTCGAAACAGGAGCATTCCCCCGTGGTGTGGTCGCACTGCCCTCGGCCCGAGCAGTCTACGTGACAAATGTTTCCCGCCTGGTGCAGACGCATGACAAAGGGCGCATGCGGACCAGGGCAGCATCACAAACAAACATCGAACGTCATGTTGTGCTTTGTCTTCATTATCTGCCATGTGTCTCGCCAGCGCTGTAGGGGACTCCGTGTGAACCTTCCCGGTGTTTTTTATTAGTCTACAATGCACGTGTGCGTTTGAGATAACGCAATCAACCGTCAGAGCAATATCCCCGACACGGGAGTTAACGCAAGCAGAAACGCTGCTGAACAAACGAAGGGCCATTGTCTTCTCGACTAGCACTTGCTCTTGAGGCAATTTAAGAGCTAAAAATTGGCCAATCGTTGTGCTGCAGTCTGCAGCTGAGAGACCCACCAAAGCTGCGTCTGCTAGGTTCGGGCTCAGTCACCTGTCCTAATCCGAAGCCGCCTTCCGCTGTGATTCCTTCACAGTCGGTGTCATCCTCAGCTGTCAAAGGGTCGTCTCCAGTAGGGCACCTCCCTGCAAAACGCGGGGACCGATAAGCGAGTTGGTCGGTGTCGTCACCATGTGCTTGAGGTCTTCACGTCAATTGAAACCATTTTGCTCACATTACTCAACGAACTCATCACAGTAAGCACTACTAAATTATATGCAATATTTGGTGGCGATGTTCACTAGAACTTTGGTCAAATGTTTCTACTGGCGCTAGTGGTGCACCATTTCACTCGCTCAACCCAACAGAGCCCGAATGGATGTGACGTGGAGTGATTGATTGGCATGACAGAATCCTGTTCGGCTCACGCTGAGAGCAATCCGCCCCGAAGTATTCCGCTTGCTGTCGCTGACCGGGACCCAGTCCAACCTCCCATGCCGAGTCGCAAACACACGCGTACATCGACTCGAAATCCCACGCCACTGTCTGGGAACGGAAGGATGAACAGGAGTGGCGATGTCGATGACACGACCATGCAGCCGTGGTATATTTGTGTGAAAATCAACCAGCACATCCATGCCACACGGGTGCAAACCACCGATAAATGAAAGAGAACGAAGACGAAATAGCGGAACCTCAAGAACAAAAAAGCTGGAGTTAGCATGCTTTTTCTTATTGACAGGCCGCGTGCTGGGCTCGGAATAGTATAGAGGTATGTACCTGGTGGACGATAAGCAGTGGTAGTGAATCATTCATCAATGTTTGCTATTCTATGTAGCGCTACCACCCGCAACCTGGGGTCCACAAGCTACCAACACCTCGTGCAGACACTCTCTGCATATCTGTATGGGTTTGCACTGTTCATGATAAACCGGGAAGTACGTGCGACTCTATGGCAGCGTGTGTTGCCTTGCTTCTGCCGCTCGCCGCTCTCATACGGAAATCACCCTTTCGACGACAACACCACAATATATTCCCCGCAGCAGTTTATTTTCAATGGAGAGACTACTGTACACATACCTCAGTTGGCGTACGCCAGCTTCTCAGCAACGAGCGAGTGAATGCTCACCTCATCAGATCCTACATCCCCGTAAATGTGGGAGCCGTTCATTAGAGGTAGAGCCTCGGCGGTCTGGCCTAGCTCGAACATGCTGAGGCATACTCCATGACCGGAACAATCCGACGGGCACGAATCTGCGAAAACACGAAATGGAAAGAATTTCAGTAGCGCTCCTTCAACAGGTGCATACGATATGTAGTCAAAAATTCGAGTGCTTGGGGGCATCATAGGTATAGACAACTAATTTGCCATGGTACCAAGCGGCGATTTCGTGGCGGTATTTCCTGCGACCCGGTGGTGAGATACGGGAGCACATGTCCGTATGGATCGCAAGAACGCGAGGCGGATCCAGCGTGTGATCGTTTTGGATCTCCGCCGAATCTGCTTGCCTTTATGACAGGTCGATCCCGGGCGGGCAGTGTAATCTAGCGAGTGTTCAAGGAGAGCAAGCGTGTACTACTGCTGCCTCTGCTGCTGCTGCTCCCGTTGCTATTCACTACTGTTGCTGGCTGCTGCGCTGCTTACCACACTGGTAGTTGTACCGCATTGGATCTACGGAGATGTGGTTGTCAACTTCACCCAATCAGCGTTCTGTTCTGAGGGTCATGAGCGCGCAGGCTTGTGTATGTCTTTAGTCGCGAGCGACATAGCCACAGCCGCCACAAAGCCAGGATGCCTTCTGCGCTACACACAGTACTTCATGTTTCCTGGCGGACCAGGACCAGTTCTTGCTCTCTGCTTGAAGCTGTAGCGATCACTCCTTGTCGACGTGCGAACGCGACGACGTCTACGTCGAACCATCAATGCGGCGTAACTTGCCGAAGTGCAACATACCACATCAACCCCAGCAGTGCCAGCGGTGCTGCCATTAGCAAGGTTCTTTCCCTGGGCAGAACCGTACCGAAGCAGCAACGCCACTACTGCTGTTCCTTGCCGCGCAACCGCTCGGTAATGTGTGATCATTCGCCCGGGCAGAGCCCCGCTGCTTTGGCACACTCGTTTTACGATGCAGCTGCTGGGATGACGAGAAGCGGGAGGATTGGAAGGCGCTGCAGCATCGCTTCTGTTGATTCCATCCGAAGTTTCGGAGGGCAGAGCGTTGTACCGTGGGAGTTGGCGCTCTTTCTCGTGGAAGAGGTAGGTGTTGGTGGACGTTTGAATCGGAAAATCCTCCAGCACCGAGATGTGACAAGAATTGCGGTGCAACTCTTCACGATTGTCGCACCTCCGTTTAGGCGACTTCGGATCTCTCTATTCAGGCGACAACGCGTTGCTACATGATACATATTGTAGAACATCAAAGACGGAACCATCCACTGGCTTTTCCATGATCGTTGCTTTAGTATAGAGTCGACGAATAGGCTACATATGTATGTGTTGCTCCGATCCACCGGCGGTTGGCCTCTGCGAACAATTAACTAACATCTGTCCGATTGCAACAACGTAGGCACAGCCGGTGCACAGAAGAGCTACGAACCTTGTAACACTGGTGGTTGTACCTCCGAAATTACGCCAGCAGATGCTGCTCTGGGCAGAAATGACGACATTGCATGAAGATCTGAGTGCCGTCAACGCTCTTGTGCAACGCTTTCTGTGTTCCTTGCCAACTTCAACAACGCACTTGACGGTGCATGTTTCGGATGTTCAGATGAAGGGGGAGATGGTTCAGCCAGGTGCTGTGGTGTACACAGCCGCGCTGGCCGAGTGCCGGTGGGCGGGGGAACAACGACACGTGGACTACATCCTCGAGGAGATGAAAGCGGAGGGACTGAACATTGTGCCAGGTATACATACGTAGGAAGATATGCTTTTCATTACTACTGCTGTAGCAGACGTAGTGGCGTTGAGCTGGCTATATCGCCAGGAACCGTATAGAGAATGTTGAGTGTCATGATGCCATGCGAGCTGGTGCACTGGGTGCGTTGTATTTTCTTGGTAATGCTGAACAAAGTTCTGTATTCTCAAGCAATTGCAATCGGTCCGGGAATACTGTTGAATATTGCATGATTCCCTTCAGTCCGCCGCAGCCTCAACACGAAAGAAAACATCGAATGCTGTGTTTCACGGGTGGTCATTTCGTATGGTGTTCCTGCAGTGTCGAACGGTAATTTGCGGACGATTTTTTCTCTCCCCTCCTTCCTGCTCTCTACTCCTAACTACCTATCCCACTCACAACCTGCAGAAACACCGCCCCATCCCCACCCCAACCACCCAACCTCGACCACAGGCATTCCAGGGGCGACAGATGACGATCCGCCCCCATCACAATCACCCCCACTATTCGGAAAGCTTCCCGAACCACCGCCCAACAGCGCCACGCCGCGACGCCAGCCAGGAACCGGAGGAGCAAATCAACACGCCGCTGCCGCGGCCGTCGAGAAGATGCAAGAAGCGGCAAGGGCGGCGGAGGCCGCCCTCGCCACGGTGGAGACGATGTGGGCGAGAGCGCAACACGACCCGTCCCCGGCGACGTGTCGGGCGGCGCTCGACGCGTGCGCGGCGGGCGGGCAGTGGGAGCGCGCGCTGTCGTTGGTTCGGGATGCTGCCGCGGCGGTGGCGGTGTCCGCCGAGCCCGACGCAAGTGCTCGCCGTGATGGGACAGCAGCAGAGGAGGACGGTGTTTCCGGGAGGGTGGAGGTTCTGGCCCTCGAGGGCAGGTGGGATGACGCGCTCCTGTTGGTGCAGGGGGAGGCGTGTTCGTCTGGGGGTGGGGGCGAATGCGGCGAGAACGGGAACCGATAGCCTCTGGTGGCCTTGACGAAGGGTGATGTCGCCAAGCTCCGCGGGCGTCAAAATGAAAGAGATATGTGGATACCCCTGTGATGTGCGTGGTTGCTGGTTGAGCAGTCGGGGGAGGGTGAGAGGAATGCTCAGAAGGAGTCTCTCATGTTGCAACCTCAAGGGCGCCCGCCCCGAGGTGTATCTGATCCCCAGATTATGGTCTTTGTTTCGATTTGATGGGGGATTGGACGGGGTAGGCACTGATGTACCGGAAGGCCAAGTATTTCAATCACGACTGCGTCTAGCCTTCTTTTCAGCGACGTATTGCTGAATCCGGGTAGAAGCTTCTTGTGTTCGATTCCCCGTTGAACCGCGACGGATGGGGCTCGTGCGTTGAATTGTGCATTTCTGTCTGCAATTCGATGCAGACGGCAGGAGTCTTCGGTTGTCTTGTGTACTACATTGCAGACACTGGTAGCGAACAACGTCAGGCTTGCTGAATTAAGCTTAATACCGACGAAAGCAGCAACGAGAGAGCATGCGACGAAACAGCTGGTGACAACGCTACAGCTGCTGGTGATGGAAATCCTGACACAATCACACTGACAGTATTCAAGCTCACTTCGTTGGCAGGCGTCGCCCTCGAAACCGGGAGCACAGACGCAAGATGCATCCGTTCGGTCGCAGCTGTGGATATTAAAAAAGCAGGCAGCAAGAGAGGGTGGACAGAAAGAACGAAACATGTAATCTCACAAAGTGTCTTTTGAGTTTCGGAGAATATGACCACAAAGTAGGTTTAATCGTCAGGTTTCAGGCGCGACATCTTCGAAGGTCGTCCGAAGAACACGAAGAAATGCTAGCATACTTAGGGTTTGATGAAATGGTAAGACGGTTGCGATGGCCGGAAGTTCTGATGTCATTGTTCAGACCGTGGGCCCTTTCTTTAGCCTGGGGGCATCACAGAAAAAGATGTCACGGTTAGCCCGTTCGCTGGCCTTTTTCAGATACAGTTGGGGCCGTTGTGCTACAATGATGGAACGTGGCACGAAAGGATGATGCAGAATCAGCGATCCTGTGGCGAAAGTTGAGTTCTCAGAAGGCTGACGCACCCTTCCGCTAGTAACCTTGAGCGATACGCTCGTCAGGCAACGGTCTAACCATCTGCTCGACCTCCTTCTTGACCATTACATCTCATTTCGCAGAATCGCGAACGATTGTAGCAAAATGTGTCTGGATCGTTTGTGGCTCGCCTGCCGTTTCCCGAGCATTCCTCCAGCCCATGATTCTCCAACGATGCCCTTCCTCTACCTTCGAGGGTCGTCGGCCGCGCCGCCCACGATTTCCCCGAAGGACACACATCTGCATCAGGCCAGAGGAGAGAAACCAGCATCTTTATACGCAACGAGGGAATGCGTTCATGTACGAGTGCGAACTGCTGCTGCAGTACCGCTGGAGCACGGCGACATATGGTGCGCGGCGAAGTATGAAACAAACACAGCCCATAGAAGTGGTTCTGTGAAGGACACTTGCTTCGTCGGGATTGTTTCATCTTGAGGTTGAAGGTGCGTGGCAAGCGAGCCCGGTGTGCGCATGCTACGGCCTACACCTTCCGGTTTGGGGCGCGCTCTGCGTGCCCCCCTATTCAACCACGTGGTGCATCTTGCGAAAATGCATGTATTTACATTCCGTCACCTCATCCGCATGCACCCCAGCTACCACACCAATTCTCTTCGTGTGTTTGAAATGAGTATTGTTATCGTGGTTGCTGTTCTCTCACAGTCGGCGCAATCTATACGCGTCCAGCCCCCGCTGTCTACGATGTCGAATGTCTTGTCCCCTTGTCCCTCGTGGCAATGGCAAGCCTCGTGGCAGTAGTCGCACACCCCTCTTTCGAAGCAGTCCGCTCTGCAAGTTATAAAAGCAAACGCACGGAGGGCATTCACTGACGTTGGGTTCTCCACGTTGCAACATCGGCGAAAGCAGATTTCTCACGACGTTGAGCTTCGTTGGGACTTCTAGGTTGTCCAACATACGACATGATTACAGTAGTAAATAATGAAGCACGTCCAACTGGCTCCTCCAAGTGGTTTGCCGTGTAAGCGAGAAAGCTGTATCCTAAGCGGTACCCGGTATTCTCTTGGCCATAGCAAGCATCATCGATACGTCTTAAGGTGGTACCTGTAGCGTCTACTTGACCTAATACGAGGCCAATAACCAACCAGATGCCAGCGAAGGCAGCGCGTATACGCAAACTACAATATTGTTCGAAGTAGACCGTCACTTACCTGCATCCGTCGCCTAGCCGGGGAGAAGTCTCGATGATTGCTTCACCGAAGTCCGAGGAATTCGTGTAGAGGCGGAAGTCTACCGAATCCTCCGCCCACCCGCAGAACGCTGAGATGCGGTTGCGCTTGGAAATTCTTACGAACATATCCTCATCCTGTCATGTCCGTGGCACGCACAGATAGGCGCGACACTATTGTTCATGCCACGTTTGAGACGGTAGGTAACGATTGCAGCAGTGCATCGAGAGGTGCACTTGATGGTGGAATGGCACACCCCATGTTCCGCCTCAACGGTGATTTCTAAACTATATGTCGATCACGTCGACGTACATTTGATTCATACTTTGGAAATCTCTGTCGGTGTTGCCCCAATGGTTCATGGTTAGACATGGACAGCGACTCTTTCACTCGCGAAACTATGTACAATAGAACGCGAATAGTCGCGTCGAAACGTTAGCCGCACCGATATCTCACCGAATCGGGGTCTAAGGTCCGGCCAGGTTTTAGCACCATCAACAGGCGTGATCCTTCGTATGGAGAATCTTCATCGTACACCCCTTGCTCCCACGCGCCTCTCCAAAGGGTGGACGGGCTTACATCCAGCTGTCCAGAAAACCATTTCGTGTTCATTGGGACGGGGGAAAGGTGGGGGACCGCTGCATTGACATGCAGGCAGCCGAATACCGGGAGAACACCAGAACGTGGAGTGCCAATTTTGAAAAACGGGATAGCAAGGGCTAATCCTGTGTTTCAGCGCCCGGCGCTGGTCGAACGGGGTCGGAAACCTTCCAGGTAAACCAATAGTGTGTGACAACAATCGCTTTCCTACATCGGAGTCCCCAGGAACGACGAGCGTTTGCACACCGTACTAAATAGAACCAACCAACCGTTTTGCTTGAGCCGGTCGTGTGTGTGTACCGCCACCAATCACCAACCTTCACCATCCTCTCGTGCTAATTTCTCACGACCACAGGCTGACATGCAGGCACTGAAACCACTGCGGTGTCACCCGTCGAAACCTCATTCCCACATCGAGTTTCTTTCTCTGTGGTGCATCCTTGGCTCGTCTCTGTAGGTAACGTTCTTCTGCTGTGTGCAACGACAGAGGATCCATCCGAATAAGTTGCGCTGCTGCTCGGACTACGAACTACCAGTATGACCCAAGAACGCTGGAACTTGACCCACGCACATACCTCGCCAAGACCAATGTCTGTGCTGTCGTTGAACAAGTTTTCGAGTGTGCCCGTTGTCAGACCTGTTCGACATCGCCCGTTGCGAGAAGAACGGAATGGCTTAGTTGGAAGGCGAAGGCCGAAGTTATCAAATGGCCAGTCGACAATAACTCGGCACCCGAGAAAACGCCCACGGGTAGAGGCTTCCTGATACTGTGATGCAGGCTAGAAAAGGGCATTGTACTTCCTTGTTTGAGGGCATTCAACGACCACAGGTAACGAGCAGTAGCCAAGAAAGCCATGCGTAAATACCCTAAACCTTCGACAAACAACAGGTTCGCTACATAGTCGTTTCGTGGAGGGTACACAATGAACTTGAAGTGTTTTGTGGACCGCTCTCTGACAAACGATTGGTCTACCTGTTCTGGCAATGATTCAGATGGTGGAGCTGTAGGCACGACATCTGCCGCACATTGAGCTGCTCACTGGTTCCGAGTAGTGGTACTATAAATATATAGGCGCACGTGCTATTTACCAAGTCATCCCGAATTGCTATTACAACAACGTTCGGTCAATCCTCTTCTGGACTTACGCAGAGGCCTTTCTCACTTTGTCGTTGGGTATTATAGGAGCATGGTTCCACACAGTCAACACTGCGAGCAGATCTCTATCGCGTTCATTCGATGCACTCACGGGGAAGGTCGACATAGAGAGCGGCTGATTCCGTGAAATTGCCGTCTGTTCTGAACCAAACGGTGATCTCCAGCGGTTCCCCCAATATGACGTCGCAGCAAGGGTCCACCTCTACCCTTGTGTCCCAAAATGACTTGAGTCGATCTTCGTCCGCATCGGTGTAGGGCTCGTCTAGCTCTGTGTAATATTCGCATCGGTCGGCAGTTAATCATGTATGTTCAGTTAATGAACAAGAGGTGGATGAGCTTTGAGCGAGCTGTGTAGCCTAGACCGAGGTTGGACAATGGAAGCATGCCATGGACAAGAAGGGGCACCGGTTTTCCTATAGACCAAAGACTGGCCCACTCGATTCATTGTTGTGTGATCCCGCCCAAGCACTACATGTGCAAAGCTACTGCTGTGTTGTCCTACGCGAATGAACGTGACAATGCGCGGGAGACGGTTTTACTTTGTGAGCAAATGGTTAGTAAACTATGTCTATTCGACAAGATAAGACTGCAAAGCATGATAGATAAAGCAGGCGTCGACATTGTAGACAACATCGTCTGCAAGAGCTCCTGTTGTTGAAGCATGCTTCGTTGAACAGTCAATCAGCCCGGTCAGCCGACCTTACTTTCCACGTACCATGGAGGACGGACGTCGATATCGCCAAGGAGCATGCATTCGAGAAAACTTTCTTCCATAGTACCAAAAAGCCTTTCGCGCTCTCCCTCGCTCTCCCTTTCTCTCTCTGCCCCCTTTGGCTGCGATCTTCTGTGTACTGTAGTCTAATATTGTAGGCGATCTTTCGGTACGGTCTCAAGCACATCACAACAGCTCACCTTGTCCAAGCGCCAGCAACAGTATACAGTAGGCGGTGGCAGCGGTGACGTACCACTGCGTCAGCACGGCGCCCCAGGCCATTTCATTCAGAGACGGAGAGAGAGCGCGAGAGAGAAAGATCGCGGCGCGACAGCGCGACACCTGGTGCTGGCATGCGGCGCAACAACGCCCGGGAAACCAACATGCTATTTATGGGAACACCGGACCTGGGATGACTGGGTACTTTCTGCGCCCCCCCCCCTCTAACTGCCATATGAACTGCCCCTTTCCACCCACACGCGGGTGCTTCCCTTCCGGCACACCACTACTCTAACACGGGTCCTGTCTACCCTTGCTACTCTCCCTCTCTCTCCCTCCGCTCTGCAGTCGTCTGTACCCCGCGGACGCCCTCATCAGCTCGCAGAGTACCTGCCGGACAATGTCCGCAAGCGAAGTCGGAGGAGCAGGCCCCGAGGCGGCCGGTACGTGTGTGTTGTTCGTTTTTCCCGCCCCGCACGAATGTTCAAGCACGTGTTTGTCTGGTGTAGCACTGGATGGTTGTATCGCGATGGCACGGAATGAGCCAGGCATTGTGGATCCACAACCTAAACTCTTGTGTGTTTCTCCCGCTGTAGCTTGGTTGGGCAAGGAGTTTCTTCTTGGCAAACAGCACTCTCTTTTCTAGAAATCACCATGGATGTGCTGCTGTAGTTAGTATCTACACGCTGCAGTGTAGGCAAGCTTCGCGTCTCGAGCAATGCGAAGATTCACATCCTAGCAGCAGCGAGGCATCATGTTTGCAACACGCGTTGCGGTGCTGGTCGTGTGCTGGGTGGTGGGTCAGAGAGCTTGAAGGCGCGTGTTGGAGATGATTTTTGCTGTTCTTTTCCTGGGTGTGTTAGACTAAGCACATAGGGCGGGTGGTCCGTAATAACATAGATACAGGTGAGCCTGCTGATCTACCCACGCGGGCGAATCAAAGCCGGTGTATCACAAGGTCCATCGCGTTCTTCGTGGATATGGTTGGTACAGCAGCTGCCTTTGTATTGGAAAATGATTTTTACGCTTTTTCTTCGTTGCCTCGCTGGAGATTCTTCTTGCTTACTCCCAGCACGCTTTTCCTTCGCTCGCTGCTAGATATCGTCCAGTTGCATGGAAGTAGCAAGTTGCTGGCACGATCGGATCACCCGACACCAGCTCGCCCCCAACGGGCTTCCAATCTACCATAGACGATATCATCGGAGAATCAAAATTGCGCTTGCGGGCTGGGCGATTTGCACAAAGTCTTGGACGACGAATTATCTCGAGGTGATCGATCTGAATATGGATGGGTGGGGAAGCATCGGGGCACGTCGGTCAGCCACAAAGCAAGGTTAACGTGTGGAGAACCAAGTGTCGGCGCCGTCGTCCAGAGCGCATCGCCCGCCGTATTTTCGGACGTGCTTCGTGCAACATGCTGTGATTGGTAGTGTTGAATATTTTTAAGGAGTCGTTCTTCCTTACAGTGGTTCGCCGCTCTCAGGTCAGTTGGGCCCCTTACACCTCGGCGGCGGCTCACACGCCTTGACGCCCATGCAGCGCGAGCACTGCTACTGCTGCAAGTCCAGACACAAAAAATCCTTGTGTTTTTTTTTGCCATTGTTTTTTTCGTTGACATATCTGCTGTATCTCTACCACGGGCAGTCGTTCCCGCTGGGGACGATGGGAGCGAAACGCCGCCGCAGCAGCAGACTGAAGAGCAGCTGTCGGCGCTCAGGGAGAACCTCGCCAGGAAGGGCAAGAACAGCTACTACTACGCCCACGACAGGTGTGTCCGTGTCCGGTCACAAGTGTGTGTGTGTGTTTGATGGCAGTTGGTGGTTTTGGGGGGGGAGGGAATTAGGTTGCTCGTCAAAGACTTTGACAATTGGTGAGTTTGGCGGGGGGGGGCATCGGGGTGTACCCCAAAAGGCTTGCTTACGGCGTCCACGGCATGCGATAGTACCGAAATAGTCGAAGAGATGGCCCGGTCGGAGAGATGGCACCGATCGGGGAGATGGCACCGGGGGGGGGTGTACTCCTAATCGTGCATGCCGTAATCGTTTGACCATTGACCTCCCATCCCTACAAAGCCGGGACGGAGCACGCCGGGTTCTCACCGGACCAGGCTCTCACATCACCAAGCGCGAAGCGCCGTGAGGTATTTGGCGAGTCCCATGAAGGGTGAGCTGCATCCTGCTAAGGGTGTTCGGCATCTTGTGCTTACTTACTTGCGTACGGATGACAGCTACGTATGACTTAATTTATTTTCTGGTGCTTTCACTTCCAGAGACAGTTGTAAGCACTGTGTAAATGCCTCGAGGAAGCTTGACCATTTTAACACAACGTGGTACGATCATCCCCCGTTGCGTGGAGTGAGGTTTCTCCACCCCGCACAACATGATCTACTCGACCACCATTATGGTTACCGCCAAAAAAAAAAACCGAGGTAAAAAAAGAAAAAAACGGTAACCTGGTTGCCGAGTTCACGAAGTGAATTGGCTTGTTTTACAACGTCATTGCCAAGCGACGAAAACCCAATCCCGATGGCAAACACCGAGGGGGGGAGATGGCACCGGGGTGCGCAAAAAAATACAAGAATGGCATGATTTAATTCGATTTACCCACCGGGGTCCAACGGGTACGATCTCTCCGACCGCCAAATCGAAGATTGAGAATGAGGTACATGTGCGTACCTTTTCCATGTGGGGACGGTGTCAGCGGAGCACCACTCATGTTCTGTATGTACGTATGCATGGCCGCGGTTCACACCGGAGGCCAGTTATTTTCATTTTTTTAATTGGTATCGAAGTCGCCAACCGTACACTCAAATCAACCAAGCACACAACGCACAAGCCTCACCCTACCCACCTTACACAACACGAAACTGTTGTACTGCTGCGTACGTACTGGTATCCGTAATCGGAAGACCTAAACGAAAGCGGAAGACAACTCCTGTTGCCTTATGTACCGATGCATACCTCAGGTGGAAACGATATCGTTTGTTGTCGTCACGCCATAGTCAAACTCGCATCAAACACAAGACCACTCGCTGCATGGAAAGCGGTTACGCACCAGCCTACGTCGCGGTTACCGGTGTGCTTCCAACCAGCAACAACGGGCCTACACGTGTGGTTCTATACTACTCAATAGCATTGTCAGCTAGCGATGTGTGACAACTCTGCGTGTGCAGAAGACCGTGTGTGCGCGTGGGTATGTCTACACTGGTATCAATACTATGTTACCGGTCGGGGAGATGGCACCGGGTTCGTGCATACAACACCTTTTGTGTAGTTCATCGGGGATCGCACCGGTCGGAGAGATGGCACCGGGATGCCTTAAAAAATCTAAAAGAAATGATTTTATAATATTGCGTTTCCGCACCGGGGTCGGAGAGATGGCATCGAGGTGCGACAAAGAATCCGAGAGAAAAATATTATAGAAAAACGATCGCACCCGGTGCCATCTCTACGGCTTGCTCACGGTATTGGCGTGCGCGGGGCGTTCTCAGTCTGGCGAAAGCTGATGGCCTCTTGTTTCAGAGGCTTTCCGGGCTGTTGATGTGGATGAAGAAGTTTTGTGAGCGCCGGATAATGGGGGTGGAGGGCCAGCCGCCCAGGTCGGTTAATGCTTGTCGTTGCTCGTTCAGGGAATCGCGTGTGACTGCTGTCTTGCGTCTTTTTGAGGAAGGCTTCGGGCTGTACTTGACGCCATAGGGTAGTGTCGGACCGCTTGCTGTCGATCGGCGAAGGAGCAACCAGCTTGAGGAGGCTTGTCAGGTTCACGTGGTGGGATGGGCACTCTACTGCAGCACGCGTGTCTGCCGGAAATCTTGTTACTGGTACATTTTGGTGTACTGTGGTTTGTGTCAGGTGACATCCTGGTCGCACCGCTTGCTCTTTACCAATGTTGTATTGTTTTGAACGTACCGGCCAGACTAATCCAAGTACTTCGTACAAGCGATACCTTGAACGCCTCTCCTGGGACAAGCATTCTTCGAACTTACACAGAACAGGTGGGGAGCCATGGTGGGTGGAGGGTGGAGTTGCGGTGTCACCCGGCGGCGGTATCTCGTGTGCTCTGATTCCCAACCGAAGCGTCGTTTCCACGTGGGACGAACAAGTACAGACTCTTTCGTGTATTGAGTATCTCCATGTATTCCGCCCTGTTCCATGCGCCCTCCTCTCTTGACCCGCTCTCCTTGCCAGGGTAATGGACACCCCTTCGTGGGATGGGAGATCAGCCCCTCGCCGCTTGGCCACCACTAGCGCGACCAAGCCAGCGCCAAAGGTGCGTCACCGTGTGTGTGCTGTTACAATGTTGGTGCCACGGCGGCAACGGGTCTATGCGGTGTGTGTGAGGCGATGGGTATCCGCACCGGTGTTGTTCTGGGCAAAACACGTCGCTAACTATCGCATGCGTGTTGTAACACCTCGGAGGCTTGATGTCATGCCGATCTGCAAGTTTGGTGTGCATGCATTCTGGTGGGTAGGAGTGAACGTCAGGTTGGATTTCGGTATTGGGGGGCAGAGGTGATCCTGAGATGTCTCTTGCAATCACGGGGGTTGTACAAGGCTGGATGTCTGTCGGAACAGCACGTTTTTTTTTCTTCATATTTTCGGGCTCCAATGCTCAACATGTTCACAACATTTTCAGTGAACGGCAGGGGGATAGCTCCCACCCCCTCGGGAGAGAGTCGGTGCTTCCTTTTGTCTACGCCATGTTGTTCTCAATCACGCAGCACATCCTGTGGCACAATACACACATACCTTGATTTCGCTGTTATCGCTTCTTCTGCCCGTGCACTGCGGCGCTGTTGCGCTGTGTACGATCACGCCGCGTCACAGAAGGCGGAGAAGGTGACCGACTACGCCTGGGCCAACGAGAAGGCCAAGGTTAAGATCTACGTCCCCCTCGAGGGCTGCGCAGACATCGAAGACGACAGTATCAGCTTGGTGAGACAGACGCCCGCCCACACACTGGGAACACAGAGAGAGACAGAGACAGAGAAAGGAAGAGACAGATAACAGAGAGAGAAAAACAGAGACAGATAACAGAGAGAGGGAGTGTGTGTGTGAGAGAGAGGCAGAGACAGAGAGAGAGACAGAAAGAGACAGAGAACAGAGAGACAGAGACAGAGAACAGAGAGACAGAGACAGAGAAAGGGAGAGACAGAGAACAGAGAGACAGAGACAGAGAACAGAGAGACAGAGACAGAGAAAGGGAGAGACAGAGAACAGAGAGAGAAAAACAGAGACAGATAACAGAGAACAGAGAGAGAGAGACAGAGAAAGGAAGAGACAGATAACAGAGAGAGAGAGAGAGAGAGAAAGAGAGAACAGAGAGAGGGAGTGTGTGTGTGTGAGAGAGAGGCAGAGACAGAGAGAGAGACAGAAAGAGACAGAAAGAGACAGAGAACAGAGAGACAGAGACAGAGAAAGGGAGAGACAGAGAACAGAGAGAGAAAAACAGAGACAGATAACAGAGAACAGAGAGAGGGAGTGTGTGTGTGAGAGAGAGAGGCAGAGACAGAGAGAGAGACAGAAAGAGACAGAGAACAGAGAGAGAGAGACAGAGAACGGAAGAGACAGAGAACAGAGAGAGAGAGAGAGAGAGAAACAGAGACAGAGAACAGAGACAGAGAACAGAGACAGAGAACAGAGACAGAGAGAGAGGCAGAGACAGAGACTTTGTTCTGGTCGCTCTTGTCGGTACACCATGGAAGGCTACCATGGCCACCCCCCCCTACCTCAGCTCTCCCACAACCAACCCGCTGCCTGCTGTCGCGGTGCTTGATGCCGTTGTTCTGCGGCACGGCGTCATTTGTGTGTGTGTGTCTCGCCTGGGTCCTTTCAGAAGTGGGAGGCGCGCTGCCTCGACCTGGAGGTAGCACTTCCTTCCGGGGTGTCTCGTAGACTGCACATCCCATCGCTACACGATGACATCACGGGGGCCACGTTCCGAAAGAAGAAGGTGTGTGCGGCGGTGACTGTGAACAGCTCAATGTAGAATCGAGCCTTACCGTCGCGTACTGTAGCTCAGGGCGGCGGTCTTGGTGATGATAACCAACGGGTGCCGTTCTGTTTTTATGCGCTATTTCACGTTTCGCTGTGGAACAAGGCGCAATAGTGTTGGCCGGCGACGAACGTTCTTCTGGGTGAACTGACAAGCCAGGGTATATGTACTTTGGTGTTTTTCGGTATGACTACTTGTAGTTGTAGAAAAACATGGCATGTATGTGTGTGCTGTTTGTTGAGTTTAGTTTGCTTGTTTGTGGTTTTAGGGAGGACGTGGCAATATGATACCAGCGACTCGTATGCAGTTGGAAGCACATACGGTAGCCAGCAGAGGCGACCACACGCTACGACAGTTCATCTCGCAGGAGGTGATTTTCACCGCCACGAAAATATGATAAGACAGGGCCGTGATGATTGTCCTGAGCTATCTGTATGCCACCCATGCTATAGCTCCACTACGTTGACCTCTCACTCTTCGCACCAGCCATGCTCTAACTTTTGGGCGATGAGGATGCAAGAAGCAAGTCATCTGATTCAAACATATCAACTGCTGTGTTTTTTTGTGCAGCTGCATGTCGGTAGTGCGTCAACTTTCATTTTCCTGCCGTGTAAAAATCTTTTTTTTGTTGGGCACGTCTCTCAGTGCACTTGCATGCACAATGGCTCGAAGAAGGCTCTATTGGTGTTTGTCTGCCTACCCGGACGCACGTCATCCAACGGCACACATATTGTTGAAAAATCTTGGTCACCCCTCGGTGCACGGATCATGTAGCAAGCAAGCGCCCCCCCCCCCATTGGGCCTGGGGCTTGTTGTGGAGAATCTGCGGGACGAGGGGTTGCTTATGTAAACGCATGCCGTAGTCGTTAGACCGTTGACCCCGCATCCCTACAATGCCGGGACGGAGCGATATGCCGGGTTTCCGCAGGCCCAGACTATGATTCACGAGGATAAACCAGGAAGCTGGCCATCATCCTTGCCTTTGCTGTGCCAAATCAGGAATACCTTGGGCGGGGAACACGTTCAACACCAGCTGCCTGTGTCCCGTTTTCCTGCGGAGAGAAGCTTAACCCCCTGCCTGCCTTCCTCCCTCTGCAATCGGCCGTTTCACTGCTGCACTTGACACCTGGTATCGTCTGTCGGCCGCCCGTCCGACAGAGCAAGATGATCGTGACCCTCGTCAAGAAGGACGAGGTTACATGGTACGACCTCACCTCGACCAACAGCCGATGACACAAGACACCAGGGGGGTCCGGTGGTTGATTACAAACGCCTCCTACTATCGATGGCCGGGGGGCGTGACATGAAAGCGGCAACATTGACGTTTCACGCGGGACCGTGTTCTTTTTGGAGCATTTGCGGTCGCGGGCTTTTGTGTTTTTTGCGCGGGCGTTCGCTTGTTCGCGGCGGGAAGGCACTCCATGACCCTGCTTGCATGTGTTCGTAGTGCGTTCGGGTGCCATGCGCGGGGTGGGTGGTGTTTTGCTGGGCAAATTTGGAGGGCTGTGTCGCCGAGGAGGTGTGTGTTTTACCCTCCTTGACGCTTGTCGAGTAGAGCTGTATCGGCGGGCCTCGAAACGAAAGCCTGTCTGTTTTTCGGCCCGTTGCGTCTACAGCGCTGTTGGCGGAGAGGTAGTGGGCGGATGCATAGCTAGTCTACGCCTGCTGCGGTTGTCAGCCGGGTGTGACATCCACGTGTTTTAGTGTATGCTAGACTGCGCGTGGTTCAAGTACCCTCGTAAAATGTTACCTACCTGGTATGCTGCCTCATGTAGGTTTGAGGGTTGAACCTTTTCGTTGCGGTGATTAAACGCGCAATTTGGACGTCAAAAAAGGAAAAAGGGCATAGTTGTGAGTGCGAGGCGGAGCTGCTGAGTCCTTCTTCCGTTAAAATAATTGAAGGCAGTCGCCACGGGAGAACCCGGCTGGTGCTCCACACATGCACGAAAAGATGCATCCTGCCGTCCAGAATGGATGAGACAAAATAATAACGAATGAAGCAGTGCGACGCAAACGTTTGCTATTGGCGGGCCGGCTAGTACATTGGAAATGTTTTTGGTCTCGTCGTATCTCGAGAAGTCCATGGCAGTTGACGAGGGATATTGACGCCCATCTACTTGAATAGGGGCATCGTGTCGAGAAGGAACCTCCCAGCTTAGCTGACGTTGCATCTTAGCAAAGCGGCCGCCGTTACAGCGTGCAGCTCGCTGTCACGTTTCCTGTTTTCATCATTAGAAGCCTTTGATGCGCATCGCCAGCCGCCACCAGACACCGACCTGCTTCATCATGTAGAAGAACCACAACGCACACACATTACACTTTGCACAAACACGCTTCATTCAGACCGTGCACGGAATACAACAGCGAAGGATTCATACCAGCCTCTCGTTTGTGAGACCTTGCGAGCCGGCTTGCCAATGCCGTTGCCCAAGAAATCCACACCTTTCGCATGGGTGCAACATTCGACCATGTCTGCCCCAAACTCCAAACCAATGTAGCGTATGCTGCACGCTCGCTTCTTCTACGTCTGGCACTACACTTGACCATACTTATCTATCTTGGATTTTCAGTGACTAGACGCGCTACACCACCCACCACCTCGTACCACACAATCTTATCCATACCCGTGCATCATCACCTTTCTTGCTCCTTAGACCCCCGCCCCTGAGCAGCCCTGAGCTGTATCGTGCGGAGAACTCCGTGCAAGAAAAATATTCGTTCAAGTGTGTACCATCATACGTATTAGGGCTTGGGCGTCGGTCACTCTTCACGGGAAAGCACGCACGCACCATTACTCACAGAGAAGCGTTGGGCCTTCACTTTGACGTCGACATCGCCGGTGGGAGGCCAACTACTACATCGATCAAGGGGGGCGCGACGAAGTGAACATACTTCGTTCACAATAACAGCTAGACTATATTTCCAAGATATTTTTTCCACTTTTGTTTCCACACATACTTCTTCGACAAAAATCAATGTACGTAGTGTGTGTAGGTCATCACATTCAACCCACCTATGCGTACTTGACATCAAACCGAACAACTATGATTTTCACTCTGAACTCCATGGAACCCTGTGCCAATCACGAACCCGGTGCCTGGAGGCTTAACAATCTGTAACCCGTGCGTGAACCACAGCCTTGTTCAGGCTTTGAAAGGGCAGATGCGGCTTCTTCTACTCATAGCAGGTCACAACAATTCATTGGCCTTTGCTCCTGAAACAACTCTCAGCTAAGCACGCACCACGATAAAGACAGAGGGAGGAAGAAACATCACCGTTTCCCGAAGTGTATTCGGAACATGGTACAGTGTAGGGGATTGGTCCAGTCCCTGTTGCAAGAGGTCCACTGTCAAGCACCAAACCCGCTGCAGTCACTCTCCTCTCTGCTGGTGGTATCCAATGACCCTTACTTCTCACAATGGCGACGTGAGCAGTGAACGAAAACAAATCACTACATATGTGTTTTTTGGGCCAAGCGCCAGGATTGTGCAGGCGTAGCCTCGGAAGCGCAAGTACTTGAACGAGAAAATCTCACACACAGTAACAGCAACGACACAAGCACACGCGGTTCTCGTCGTGCATTCCCCCTTGATCCGCCACATCAATCGTCTTCGTCCCTCCTTCCTCGAACCACGAGTGAGTGCTACCAGAACGACCGACCATGACGTCCAGCAACGCCCATGGCCAATGCCTTTTTTTATTGCCGTGTGTGGCCAAACCGACACCATATTATTACGGACCATCTCCCAGCGCGTTCGTAGACAAACGCCGTGCAAGGACGTCCACCCTCAGTTTCCCGTCAATCGCTCGATCAAGTCGTTGAGGTTGTCGAAAAGATCCTTCGTGCTTGGGGGGTTGGAGGGGTCCACGGAGAGACCGTCTTTCAGCCACTGGCATACCTGCCGAACGCCAGGCCACGACAAGCGTTGAAACAACTGGTACAGATACAGCACTCGTGTCCGGGATGTACAGAGCGTTGGACTGCGCAAGAGTCCACCACATTGCATCCAATAACGGCGGAAGGCTGAGAACGGTCGACAACCAGCATGCAGGGAATCACGCGCTACTGTATGTAGTAGATCCACTAACTCCTCGTAAGGAAGAGATTCCAAATCCAATCCCTGACGGCTGAATCATCGGCGTTGTCCAACAAGGCATGGTGTGAAAACGATACAGCGCTGCAGCTGGGTCGAGAGCGACTTTGTCGTCCTCTCCTCCCTGATATTTTGTTGTGTATCTCCCTCTCCCGCCTTCTCTCTCCCGCTCCCTTACAGAACGCGCCACGACTGTAGGACATGGTAGCTGCTAAAACTTTGAGCGTCCAAATCATTCCAATATTCGACTAGACACCACCCCCCGCAAAAATCTATACATTCTCTGCTGATTTCCTCACGCAGGAAATAAGACGCGAGGCTAACCCGAAACAAGAGGTTCTGGAAGACGGTGGCGGCATGCATACCTTCTCCGGCGAGGGTACCGCGTGGTGTAGATTCTTTGGCACGAGGACGTTCCTCTCGAAGGATCCATCCGCTAATGTTCTCTTCATGACTTCAGTCTTCGCAACCCCCGCGCAGCGTTCAAACGAGGTTTATATAGTAGTTACCAGGGAGGACGGCGCAGTACAACCCGAGCGTCGAAGGTTCGAAGGCGAGTGAGGAAGATGAGGGCTGGTGTACACGGTGGTTTTCTCGTCAATACCCTTCGTTAAGTGGGCGGACAATAGTCTGTTGTACGCAGTCAGAGCGAAGACCAACACACATTATTCTATGCCAAGAATCCAAGAAAATGTACACCGGCGTCCAGTGCTTTATGTATTGTCAAGTTCGAACTTTGAACATACATATTTCGATCGTCCTGATTCCACGATAACGTGTCCTTTTTACGTGTGCTCACAGAGCTTGTTTTGCATACTTACGCGTTTTCAACGTTTTCAATATTCATAAGTATAATCTCCTGGTGGTGCAAACGTCGAATATCACAAGTATTATCAACCTGGGCCTTATCGCCGTTCCTTCACCCCTCACCTGGAAGGCGACCTCCGCAGCTTCATCGCGTCGGTCGATCAGCATGGCGCGCTCCGCCTCTTCTTCCGTCAGAAGTGACTTCAAGCATTTTCGACGACGTGGAGAGAAACGCAAACAGACCCAAATTATTTTCTTGTGATGGTGATGACTGTCAAAAGTAGAAAATGAGGCGTTTCGCCGCTGAAGTAGATCAGTACAACCCAGTGGCGGGCGTTTGACGAAAGTAGTGGGTTTGGTGAGACCTCCAGTGGCGGGCGTTCGCCCTGCCCAAAGATTATCGGCCGAAGCTCGTTTTTTGTGTCGAGAGCCACGTCAAAATCACCATAGGTTGTGAGCCAGGAAATTTAGTGTTACATGTCGAGAAACAGCAACTATAGAGAGCAAACCGAAAGTTACCGCTCTAGAAGTCCAGAGATGGAGTACTTCGTTCAAAGTTGACCCCCGGAAGGGAGTTTCCAGTTTGAGAGTCACTGAAGAGGATCACGAGGCGGCGAAAACGCGCTAGACGATCACGATGTGTACGCTGCGGCAACAAAGATGACGTGATGACAACTTGTTCCTTCACTCCCTTACGTTGAGCGCGAATATGTTGTTCGCCTGAATGGTAGGCTTCAGCAGCATCAGGAGGGTTACCACCGCGGCGGAGAAGGCGTCCTGATCGAAGTCGGCCGGCATGTCCGCTGTCAGGTTCTTAGGCGGCATGTACGTGGCCGTCCCGGTCATGGACGGCCTCATCGTGCCTCTTGCTGTTGGCGGTGGTATTGGCATTATCGTCGTCGTCGTCGGCATTGTTGATGGTGATGGTGCCACCAAGTATTTTATATGCGGTGCGGCCAGAAAAAGGCGAGAGACGTCAAAAACGCGTCGTATTGGACGTTGAGAGCGCAACGACGCAGGCTGAATGCCGAGATTTCATCTCCGAAAAGCCCCTATAAAACATCGGCTATCGGAATCACCGCGTATCGGTAGCGAGATGAACGGATAGATAAATAGAGTGTAGCCCAGCCGGGCCTCGTCACGCGTGAGGAAGAACAACCGTATCGACAATGGCATGGGAATGGCATATACCGCAGGGCGCACCGAGAAAGACGCAAGGAGGGACACATGCACATAGTAGAGGACAGGTGAAGATTGTTGGAAGGAAGGAGAGAGGATTGATGAGAGGGGGAGAGTGGGAAACAGAGACAGACAGAGAGACAAACACCCCAGCACACACGGGCACAAATCGGGGGGGGAGAAGGGGGTGCGTCCACTCACATCGTGAAAGGCCGAAGTCGGTGACCTTGCCCCGCCGCTCTCTTCCGGTCTTCACCACCAACAGATTCTCGGGCTTGAAGTCGACGTGGACCAAGTCGAAGCTGTGGATGTGGATGAGGCCGCATACGCCATCCCGCATAATCCTGTCCGCAGATGACGGGAGGAGGAGGAGTCGAAGGGAAAACGGGAGGAAATAGGTACACGGCTTCAAGTTTTGCACTTCAACACGGTTGATGTGTATGTGCTTGATATATAAATAAATTGTTCCGGATGTCGATCACGTTTCGCTGAGTTTGTCCAGCGAACCAACCAGGGTCACACAGGAGACATAGGGACGGGAGGTTGGGGAGCTTCAGGTAGCGCTCTTGTAACAGGTGAATCAATCGAACCATCATACGTCCGAAAGAATCGTCCACTCGCCGTTCTTCCTCGAGGACGGCAGTTCAGCGCCCACGTCTTTCGATTGTAATGCAAATTGTGTGCACCTTTTTAACACTGGTAGAAACGACATGATAGAGGGGTGCAGGTCTTAGTTTCTAATCCTGTCTACTTGCCTGGCCTTCTGCAGAACGGAGTAAAAGTATCCCCCCTCCAGCACATCGAAGGCGTCGCAGGTGGCCAGTTCCATCAAGATCGGCATTGACCGAATCGTGAGGTCAAAGCCCTTGAGGCCGATGATATTGTCGTGGCCCATCAGGCTGGTGAGCAGAGAAAGATGGCAAGGAAAGGGGATGGAAACGATTACTCAGTCTGACGAGGAAAGAGAAGAAGCAAAACAAAAGCCACAATCCAGTTGACGGCGGCATGATCTTCAACAGAAACGGTCAGATGGGGTGGAAGCTACTGCCAGAGAGAGGCAGGGGGCGGCACAGGACCAACGGAATGAATAGCACTGTAGTGGAATGAGTGTACGAGTCGGGTGATTCATGAAGTACACGTCGGGGGGTCGCGGTCAATGCCTTGACCGTAGAGGGGCGCGTAACAGGAGCTATTTTTCTTTTAATTGAAGAATACCAAACTCCTAGAGTGTAATGGACGGGGTCGAAAACAAGAAAGCTGAAATCCCAAGATGTGTGCTTGTACGGCGTTGAGGATAATCAATAAGTACGAAACAAACGTTCGAACCAATCAACACAGAATGCTACACTACTGCTGCCACACTCGAGCAATGACCTGAGCGTACGAGACCTATGCAACTCACTCGATAAGGATATGAACCTCCTGCATAGCAGCCCATCCCACTTCCTTGGCAGCGTCCTGCCATCCGTGGCATGCCAAGAGAACGAACGCGCATTGCCAGCGTTAGCAATTTTTTTATAAACGTCGTGTTCGTCGCTAAGAAAAAAATAGCACAAAAGAGGGAACAGCATTGAGAAACAAACTCGGAGGTTTGCCCAGCAATTCGAGAGGTGACGGTGGACTCAACGGATGCAAACCATTCCGCGGTGCGGACGAATGCTGGAAGAGTACAGTGAGTAGAAAATGCTTTCCCTGCGCCTTTCTGCGCACCATGGCCTTGCCAAACTCCCACCGTTTTCAAGCGGGACTCCCCTTAACGCAATTCTCGGGACTTTCCACTCGTCTCAACTGCTAAGTCAGTTGAAACACGCCAACAGAGTAACTCACCGGTGACACTTCCTTTAGGGCGAACGACCCGTGCGCTTCGTGCTCCACCACGGTAACCGTTCCGAACGCCCCCTCGTTCAAAACCTGTCCTCGACACAAGGCACGGGACGATGGTCGTAGAGAGCACCACCTGGCCAGGTGCATCGCGGGGACGGATACCGACAACTCTCTGCTTGTCTCGGCGACGTTTCGCAGGAACATAAGCTTCAGGTCGCGCTTGTACTGCTGCTCCTGGCGGAGCCTGTGTCTGTGCCTCCGCCGTTTCCTCTTCTGCTCCTTCTCCTCCTCTTGCTGCGTTGACATCTGCTCCTGCTCCCGCTCCAGTTCCTGCTCTGCGCCTTCGCGCTGCACCGACATCTGATCCACCAGTTCCCGCTTCTGCTGCTGCTGCTGTTGTGTCTGCTCGCGCTCCTCCTGCTGGTGTTCATCAATCTCTTCGTCCCACTCCGAACCGCTTCCAAATCCCTCCAACCCGTTCTCCGAAGCATCAGCACTAGAACCAGCACCAGCGGCGGCGGCAATAGGGGAGGTCTCTTCGCCGTCAAGTGCGAAAGTAGAACCCGCCCCCGTTGCTGCTGCCATCGTGTCTGCATTGGCCACTGGAGACGCAAGCAATAGTTCCTCCACTCCCTCCGACCCTTCGAATTCTTCTTCTGGATTCACGTGCAGGCCGGAGTCTTGGGGGCGTTGCACAGATGGGGGAACGAGCTGCAGGGTAGCTGCGTGACTTCTGACCTCGGCTTGGCGGCGCTCGTTCTCTGCCTTGAGGTTGTTGACGTTTTCCTGCTTTGGAGAAGGAAGGCACGCACATGCACCAGACGGGGAGGAGATTGGTGGCGTCACACGTGCCAAGTGCCCATGGATGCGTATGAACGCTCTTTCACTCATAACACCCAGAGCTTTCGGCTGTCAACTTTCTGGTCACGTTGGGTGTTCGAAGGGCACGGGGGTTCACAAGCAGGTGTAGAAACATTGGCACTTCAACTGATAAAATAAGATCAGCGTGAAAAAGTAAAACGATTCGATACCATGCTGTATGGTATCCGGCACATATGTACTTTTGATGGTTCGTCCCATCACCTGTTCAATCTTGAGAAGTCCCGAGATAGTCGCCAGCGTCAGCTCTGCGGTTTTCGCTCGCTCCTTCGCCGCGGCAACATCTCCTTTCAAACGCTTCTTGCGGATCTCGCGCACGCCCCTCTCCGCTTCCAACTGCCCTCCTAGCCTCCCTTGCAGAATCTCTCCTAGCCTGACGTCCTCCATCAATGCCCGGGTCTCTTCTGCGTGTCTCCCCCTTATCGTTGCCAGCCGCTTCTCTTTCTTCTCGGCACGGTGCGTAGTCTCGCGTGTCTTTGCTTCCAGGACGTCCAGCTCTACGTTTTCGGTATCGAGGTGGACCTCTAGCGTGTCGAGAGAATTAGACTCCTCCGCTGCCACAGCCGTCTGAACCCACGCGACAAAACGAAGCTTGAGTGCGGCGGAGGCACGGCGAGCCTTGGCTTCATCCTCTTTCTTCCGTTTCTTGGCGGCTTGTGAGCTGTGGACGAATGTGGCCGCCGAAACAAACGCGACTGCTGCTACGCCAGCAGTGATCACCTGAAAGTGAGAGAGAGGCGGAAAGAACAGCTGGTAGGGCTTGAAAAGCGACGGGGTTTGGCTTCGAAGTCCGTTGTATGTCAAAACGAATGCTCCCTAGATATCATGCTTCAATACTCACAGGATGTTGTGTGTCATTAGATTTAATTTTAGAGGGGACACTGTACAACTCCGTCAAGCTGCGGCCATCGCCCAATACAACACTTACAAAAACTGTGCGTCGCTGTCATATTTCTATACCCACCCACGTTTATAACGAGCGCTGAGTCTAACATGATGACGACACAGCCGTTTGTGCAGCTGGAGTTTTATTTTGCGGAGTACGCTGCCGGTCTATGCCGCTGTTTTGGTTTTCTGTTTTCTTGGATCTATGGGAATGTGTGTTGGCGTTCTTCGTCTGAACGCGTTTCTTTTGCGCTGGCTCTAGTTTTAGGGTTCCATCAGGACTATGAACATTATCGATCCTTTGCGTCTTCGCACTTGCTTCCTAACACCCACACGGCAACATCATTCACTCTTCTTTCCATGAACAGTGCTGTCGAACCGTGTACGTGATCGTGCACATCCTCTCCCTAGTATTTGTGGCAATGCAGATGGTGCCCGCAGTAAAGAAAACTTGTTAAGAAAAAATGCTCAAGTTTTTACGAACAATAAGAGAAAAGGGCTAAGAAACATATACCTCAATCTCGGCCACAACGTAAGAAACGCCCCCATAAGAAACATGAGGGGGCGATACCCCCATGGTATCAGAAATTTTCGGTGCTCCCATCCCCCTACCTAGGTGAACAGAAGTTCATTTTTTTTTGTAGGGGACAGAGTGGTTATTTCGCGCCCCTCCCCCTGCCCCTGCTGTTACAAGTAGTACATACGCATACAGCGGTCGATGCTATTTGACCGCACGCAAACGAACGTTATACAGTAGAAACACACTTTCAGTGAAAAGGTGTAAATTTCCACTCTGAAACGTAGGCAACGCAAAACCTCCCCAAACCATATCATTTCCGTCGATAGCCATTGCATGGCACCACCAGTCAAGCGTCTGGTTCACGAGCTCAAACTGTCAGGAGACGAAAGGACCATGCAATGAGCTGTTAGCCGATATGTGCAGACAGTATTCCTTTGCACCCCCTTCGACGGCCAGGACACGTTTTGATGGGAAGATGGGCCGTGAGACGATGGCCCTCTCACATATGCTCTCTACACAGGCCTGTACAAGTAGCCTCTACGGCCTCTCTGCCTCTCCCGTCTCGCGTCTCGCGTCTCGCGTCTCGCATCTCGCAGAACATATGCGGCGCAATAACATACCGTGATTCCCGAACCGAAACTGGGTTCGGTTCCGGCGGGTTACTGCTCGTAGCTGGTTGACTTGTTCTCCTACTGGAGGTCTGGAGGTGCGTCGCTTACATGTTGTTGGTGCTTGAGAAGAAATAGTTAGGCGAATTCCGGTATTGAGCTCCCACGAGTACCGTCACACCACCTCTCCATCGCTCACCCATCTTCACGCGCCAATATCACCCAACCTACATAGATTCCAACCTCTTGCAGACTCTAACCAAAGTATTGTAGCTCCCGTCTTTTTTTTTTCGCATCACTGACTACGGCTACCCGCGCTGATGCAGTGTAGCGCGGCAAGTCTCGCTCTCTCTCTCTTTCTCCCTTTCTCTCTCTCTCTGCCCAGGATCGGATCGGGCAATCGACAACACTCATCCATGACTGATTACATACATCGGAATGCACCCCTTTGAGAGTGACGCACTATGTAGTCGGTGAGCTTCGGTCTATTTCGTGCAACCGCGGTGGACTATGTACATCTGGGATACGTTCAGTCATACCCACGACCGAGTAGAACGAGTGTTGAAGTCTGGCGAAGCGGAGGCGGGTACGCGTAGGCATGCTGCTGGGCGTTGAGAAGATTGAGCGAGGGTACATTGGACGTGCGTCCTGGCTCGAAAACCGGGCGGCAGTGGAGTTTGGCCTGGAGATACGAAGGTTCGTTCGGTAGATCCAAAAAACATAGACTAACACATATTCGCGCTCCTGGACTCACCATGCTGTAGTTGGGATCTGCAAGCATCTCAATGGCGGGCATTATGCCCCTCCGAAGGCCCTGTCGTGGGCTTCCGTTTCGAATAGATGTCTGCTTCTTGTTAGCTAATTAGGCTGTGGCCCACGTGCCAGACATGTGATGAACTTGTGGGTCAAGGCGAGTGTTGGGTGTATGCATGGATGCTGACGAAAAGGGGCTCCGCCGAGTCTATAAAGGGTCAGATATTTTGATGGATGATGATGACGCGTTCAGTGCCAATCGCACCGCACGGACGCGAAACGCCCGTTGGCCGCAATATTTTTTGGTCGGTACAGACCGGAAGGGTAGCGGTGCGGTGCGTCACAGCCCACACCATAGCGTTGAACCCAGTGCTCTGATAGCTAAGTTGATGGCAAGGCGGGCGGTTTCCGTCGAGATCTTTGCGGCAGGAGACGGCATTAACTACCCTCAGAAGGTCGGTGAGCTAAGCCAAATATTCCGCAGGTTTGCGGTTCTCGCTGGTGTTCTGCCCACCGCAGCGTGCCTGGTGTACTTGCGCATGGTGCTTGCTTGATGTATCCTACGACAGCATGTTCTCACCAGACCCAATATCGTGGCGAGACAGAACACCGCATCATGTAGTACTGGTGACCACATCATCATTCGGCTTGCACTTTCCGGTACTCTATTTAGCCTGAAGAATAGGGTTGTCGACGAATAATCAATGTTTGTACAACATGCAGACACAGGGTCTTCCGCTAGCCTGGCACCTTCAATATGTGCACCGCCCGCTTGTTTCTCGAACACTAGCTGTTGCGTGCCGGTATCAGAACGGATTGACCTTCGCCTGTAGATTGTAGCCCGCGTACGTAGACCTGTCGCGCCTGCTATACCATTCATCGCGTACTACGGAATCTACCGCCGTTGCCCTCATTTACGGACCTCCATAGGGGCAGACGGTGACCGTTCATTACACAGGATACTTGGAGGATGGGACACAATTCGACTCGTCTCGAAATCGAGGCAAACCTTTCAAGTTTAAGTTGGGCAGCGAGCAGGCAAGACCAAAGGGGCATGTGCGGGTGCGATACGATGAACATAACACCCTGGGATGAGTGCGTTTGCGGCTGAGGAATAGAGTGTAGAATTGGCGATGTGGAACCCTTCGGACAGCACCGTCTTATTGCAGCACAAGCTTACGGCCAGTGCACGGGGTACATACAAGTATTAGTTGTCACCTACGTATGCATACCACCACCAATGGTTGGCGGATGTCCGGGCCACGATTTTATCTCCTGCAGCCAAGATGTCAATGACCGTTGAATGGTACTCGAAAGGACTATACGGGGACTCAATGTCACACGTTCGCGAGCGGTGTTTGAGCTTGCTTTCACTTGTTGCGGCTATTGAAATATTTCGAGAAAACTCCAGACTAACCCGGACGAAACTGCACAGGTGGAAGTGTAGCTGTTGGGCTGTCAAGACCCACAACGCATGCCCAAGGCGCTACTAATACTTGTCATGCCTATTCGGGCTGCTGCAGGTAGTCCCGGGACTAGACGATGGCGTGAGCCAGCTCAGCATTGGAGAACGAGCAAAGGTAAGCATGAAGGCATAACCATATATTGGTTTGTTCTTCTGGTGCAGTTGGACGGAAATATGGGGAGGGAAACATCTTCGGAATGTGCGATTAAAATATGTTGTGGGTGGGCGAGGTTTCAACTTGGAAGATTTTCCCACGCGTACTTGTATCTCGATTGACTTTGAAGCTTTTCGCTTTAACTGTCGGTCTGGAAGACCTGATCCTTTCTATACCCCACAATCCCTCCGCAGCCTCAATGCGTCAGCGCCGGGTGCGACGGGAATCGTCCTCCTCCACAGCCCGCGCTTGTCTGTACCTCAGGCGGAACTCGCAACACTTGTTTTGCCCCTTCTTTTTCGCCCCTCGCTTGAACCGCCCGCCATTCCCAGGTTACAATTCCCGCGGCCTCAGCGTACGGGGCACGAGGATTCCCGGGCCTTGTTCCCCCGCACTCGGCGCTCGTGTTTGACTTAGAGTTGATCACGTTCAACTGAGAACAACGGTTACATTTCTTTAGGCCTTCGCTCATGTCGCGGGTGGAATTTTTTCTGCCACGGGATGGGTCGAGGTTTTTTGCCGTTCGTTCGAATATCGTGTTGCGGAACACATTTTTTACAGATCGCGCCATTGGTCGCAGATATGCGGCACGGCATTATCGGAAGCTTCACAAAAAATGCTGCGCTAACGTGCGTGTCGCCTGCTGCAGCCGTCAAGACTTCGTAAATTATGTGTTGTCACAGGTCACCGTAGGAGGCGGAGAGATGACACTGCGTGCGATCGGTTGTTCAAATATTTTGTTTCGTGTGTTTTTTTTTTTGCGCACTCCGGTCGAACTCTCCGACCGGCGCCATCTCTCCGACCCCCGAGCGGGAATGCAATCGAATTATTTCGTTTTTTTTTTCCAGGACACCCCCGGTGCGAGCGCTCCGATGAGTGCGATGCCCAAGTTTCATACACACACAGCTGCCCTGCCGGTGCTACGGTGGTGTTGTGTGAACACACCCCGGCGCCATCTCCCCGACCAGTGCCATGTCTCCGCCTCTTATGGTTACCAAAATGTGACTGATCGTTTCAAAATGCCTTCGGAATATATTCTCAATCCCTTTCATACTTGTCGGGAAAGCGCGGGCGGGCGCCCTGGGACATGTCAAAAGACTCATTTACATGTGTGTGCTGGATGTACCGTACAAAACTTCCGCCTGGTCTACGGTGCAGTAACAAGTTACATCCACATGCGGTCAGACTTCGACGCTTTGGATACAAGAGCGTAATGCATCAGCACCTTCCACACCACGTTCATCTCGACCGGAACATGACAACGTGATTCCGAAGGGGTCCTTGCAATCTTTTCTCCCGACAACTCGAATGCCCTAACGGCACAACAGGGACTACCCTCGAAATGCGTCCTGCAAATTCTGTCACCATGAGCGTTCAAACCTCTGCAACTGGCAGCAGCGTTTCATCGCAAACTGAAAATATTTTTCTGCTGAAAACTGTTCCCTTTTGCTAGGGCTTGTGGCAGCAACGACGAAGCCCACGTCCCTACCTTGGTTCGTAGATTGCATACAATAACTCGATTCCTCTAGCTGCTGCTCTCACGCAGGCCCCGCCACTTTGACAGCAGCCTCACACCACCACGACATGAAAAACACGTCCGCGGTCACGGTTGTTGTTGTTGTTGTTGTTGTTGTTGTTGTTGTCGATACACGAAACACCGTTCCGGTCTCCGCTCAGTACCTCCTAATATCTGTACTATACTATACTATAGTATACTATAACAGTCCAACTGACGCCGACGCATCCCGTGGTCAAGAGCCAACTGCCCCCGCAAAAGGGGGGGGGGGGTACACCATTCTTGAACGAAAAACAAAAACAAAATGGACAAAAACAAATCTCCAAATGTGGTCATATCATGTATTTCACAAAGAAACAAAAACACAACCGAACAGGGAAACATTCTATTACAAGAAAACAAGAAACGAAACAACAAAACTATTTCACTCGACGACGCTGGCGGAACACACCTCTACGAAGCACCGCGAGGCTGTGTGACCTCGAACCTTGCAGCCAGCAGGATGTGGTCGGAAGGCTCCTCGGGAGAAGGCAGTCCCCCGAACCGGGCAAGGTCGCACCGCAACGGGGGCTCCGCCACGCCTATGCACCGCAGGCACCCCCTCTCCAGCACGACCGGCGCTCCTTCCGCCGCCGTCGGATTCTCGCTTTGAGGAAGATTGTCTTGGACGTTATGGTGTGCAGCGTTGGGCGGCCCCTCTTCGGAAGGCATGCATTGGCCGTAGAATATGTAGTCGACCGTTCCCTGTCGGTGAGACCGCAGCGAACGTTCCAGCGAACGTTCCAGCGAACGTTCCAGCGAACGTTCCAACGAACGTTCCAACGAACGTTCCAACGAAAGTTCCGGCCGTTGTACGACGGGAGGGTGAGCGAGGCGTGCCGCGTCAGAGCGTGCGGGTGACAGAATGTTAGCACGAGTCTTCTGCCAAAGATGGAAACGGATTGCAGATCGTTGCATGCAAGAAAAGTACGATTATTGACCCATCGCAGCTCAAGTTCCAGCTGTAGCGCGCCCCTCACGCGAGATACCTCCACGCAAGGGGGGCTGCGCCAAAAAAGGCCGCATGCGCTAAACACAACGATAGCAGGCCTCCGCATCCCCACGGCCCTGCGGGATGCAGGTACGGATTCGTTTGTGCAAGAACAACAGACAACCGACAAGACACTAAAAGAAAAAAAATCAAGCACTCCTGCGGGCCCTCTCGTAAAGAATCAAAGACGTCGTCGACATCACACCTTGAACATGTGGTGGAAGCTGCTGAAGGCCGGCTCCCCCGTGCCCCAGGAGTCCCCCCGCTGCGCGTACGCGCTCCGGAGCCGCAGGCCGTGGGCCACGGGACCCGTGCCCCTCCTGTACGCCAGCTTGTCCCCGTTTCTAGGCCACAGCACCGGGGGATCGTACGCCTCCTGGGGCCCGCCCCCGTCCCCGCCGCCCGTGGCGCTCCTTTTCCCGCCGCCGCCGTCGGACCGACGCTCGCCGGCGGCCGGCTCCACCGCGGTGCACCGGCACGGGGAAGGGTCCAGGACGGCGAAGAGGGTGCCGGGGGGAGCGCCGGGAGGGCACCGGTAGCCGGCGGCGGCGGCGGCGGCTGCTGCTGCTGAAGCGGTATCGCCGGCGACGACGTAGGTCGAAGGCGCGTCGTCGCGGTTGGAGCACTCCTCGCTCGGTGGCGGGTGGCGGAGCCCCGGTGGTGGGGGGCTTTGGGCGGGCTGTCGGTTTGGGGGAGGAGGGGGGGGGTGTTAGGGGTTGAAGTTGGTCCAAGTCAAGAAAAAAGGGGGTGTGAACCGCGTAGGGACGTGTTTGTTCCGCAAGGAATACCACGGTATGTATGGTGGGTGAATGACTTCAACGCCGATGTCGAACAACGTTTGCTTGGAAAAAACACAGCAACAAAAAATATCACATCCCCCCCCCTGTCGGTATGGCCGTTCTCCCTTTTTCATAGATATAATACCCTCTTATCCCAGCCCTATTCCTTTCACTACGCGTTTCGAATCTCATTGCACCCAACCCGCAGCAATTGGTCACAAGAGCTAAAGAACAAAAAAAAGAGGCCACGCAACTCCTTACCCTCTTTCCTTTCTCTCTTCGATCCCCCCCGCCACGTCCCGCCGGCCTCCTTCCTCCGGTTGTCGCCACTGCGGACACCGGGGGGCGAAGAAACGACCCTAGCGAACACCCACTCCCTTGGTGCTTGGCGTCCGGCTCCCGGTGAGGCAAGATGCCGCTGTTGCTGGTTTCCTTCCTCTGATGGTAGCACATGTTGCGGTTCGACTCGCACTGCCCGCTGACCATGAACCTGGACAAGAACACACGACGGCCGGAAAGGCTTGACTTACAAAAACGGGCGGCGAGCAAGGCCTGACATCGTGTTGTGACATTGGATTGGCGGCAAAAAAGATAACGCATGTCACAAACACCTTCCGCGTGGTCCGGCCGTCCGACCATCATGAACAGCCGGGTCGGCTACTGCTGCAGCTCGGGTGCAAGCAAGGCTACCTGGCAGGGATTCGCCAGGTTGGCACCCCGAGGCATGCTATTTGCACGCCTCGAAAGGCACCCGCTCACCGGTTCAAGCCGTCCATGTCCACCGCCCCCTTGACCATGTAGTGGTACAGAGCACTGTCCGGCGTCATGTTAAAGTCGCCGCATATCATGACGCCGTCGGCGCCCGAGGTCCTCGCTAACCTTTGCAAGTGGATT